TTTTAAGAGTACAGGCATTACTTCCTATTAATTTTCCAAGCGTGTGACCTTTTGTCAGTGGTATCTTCAAAAATTACACAAAATCCGCAATTTGAATCAATGATTCTGTTCACGGACGAAGCTAATTTTTCTCGAAAAGCCATTCAGAATTTCCACAATAATCATTTGTGGGCAGAAGAGAATCCCTGTGCCGTAACCGAAACCCATTTCCAACACCAATTTTCGGTTAACGTATGAGCAGATATTATTGGTAACCACTTTATTGGCCCATTCTTCTTGCCGGAACGACTTGACCGACAGACTTACCTCAATTTTCTTTAACAACAGTTGCCTTTGCTGTTTAGATTTCTTTTGTGGGACTATTTTAAGACACTAGTGTACACAAGTCCCATTAACGCTGTAGAGGAATTAAGAGAAAGAATAGTTGCAGCTTGTGATAGAATAAAAAACACTCCAGATCACAACAAATTCTTGAAAATTGTTGTTAAATATGGTTTTGTCGGTCAGTCTCTTAAATGGGCCAGATCGTTTTTAGTCCAAAGAAAACAATATGTTTCAGTAGAATATCTTGATGCAGGGAACAATATGAAAAACTGTGTGTCAAGTACGTTAGACATCTCGATTGGAGTCCCTCAGGGTTCTATTCTTGGACCAATCTTTTTCCTCTTATACATTAATCAGTTTGATAATGTGAATCCAGATACCCATTTTACAGCATATGCTGATGACGTTTCTGCCATAATATCAAGTAATTCAAATATACTAAGTGACATATAAATCCGAACACCCAGTTTAAATGGTTTTATTTTAATAAAAGTTGGTGAATGTATTGATCTTACTGTAAATAACAAGTGAAAAAATGTTCAGCCTTATCAGTTGGACATTCCGGTTTTTATACTGCTTTTTTTTAATTCACTAACGCTCTAAAAATGAATATTTCAGCCGCAGTAAAGAATCAACGTTGGCGGATTTTGGTTCTTGACATCCTTTACGATCGGTTACGATGCCTAGAGTACGGAGACCTGTACGATTTCGTCAACTTAGTGAGTTTGATAGGGGCAGTATAGTGGGACTTCGGGAAGCTGGACTTTCTTTTCGGGCAATTGCAGTTAGAGTGCAAAGAAGTGTAGACACTGTGGTTAGGTGTTGTCAGGCATGGCTTCGAGAAGGCCGTACGCAAAGAGCAAGGAGCACTGGACGCCGCCGTAGAACAACAGACCGTGAAGATCGCCGCCTAAGATTATTGACCTTAAGGGACCGTTTCTCCACTACCAGGTCCATTACAAATGAATGGTTTGCAGAACACGGAAGACCTATTGGCATGCGAAGTGTTTACCGACGAATGAGAAGTTTTGGTTCGTTTTCATACCAGCCACACTGGGTCCTCCCTTTAACTCGAGAACACCGACGTAATCGCCTTGAGTGGTGCAGACAACGGTCACTCTGGGATCAGGAATGGAACAGTATTGTCTTTAGTGACGAGTCTCGATTTTGTTTAGGCATGCACGATGGTCGTGCCAGGGTTAGAAGGCGACGTGGTGAAAGGAGGAATCCACAGTTTTTTGTTGAAAGACATGTTCATCACACTGTTGGAGTTATGGTTTGGGATGCTATAGCCTATGGTTCCAGGTCACCTTCAATCTTCATCAGAGGTAACATGAACGCGCAGCGTTATATCCACGAAGTTCTAGAACCCCATCTTTTACCCTATCTTGACACCCTGGCAGATTCAACTTTCCAATAAGATAATGCCCGACCACATGTTGCAAGAGTCACGATAGACTTCTTTCAACATAATGATGTCACATTGTTACCATGGCCACCAAGATCTCCCGACTTATCCCCAATTGAGCACGTGTGGGATATGATGGGTAGGAGATTGCTCAATTTGCAACGTCCTCCTCAGACTCTAGAAGCACTTCGAGAGGAGTTGGTGGTTGCCTGGAATGAGATACCACAGGAGGACATTGACCACCTGATCAGAAGCATGCCTAGGCGCGTTGGAGAATGCGTAGCACATCAGGGTGCATCCACACATTATTAAAGGTCAAAGGGCTTTAAAGCAGTGCAATCATTTTGAAATTTTTATCATTTACTTATTATGCTTCATTAAGTACTTATACAAAATTTTATTAAAATAAAACCATTTAAACTGGGTGTTCGGATTTATATGTCACTTAGTATATAATTTTGGAAGATAAATGTAACAACTTAATTAGGAATATCAATACCTGGTTTAACCAGTACTCACTTTACTTGAATCCTTCCAAAACAACGCTTATTCGTTTTCATCATGCTCAAAAAACTGTAGAAGGGATTTAAGTTAGATTGGGTGAAGATCAACTCGATTTTAGAGGAGAAGTGAAATTTCTTGGAGTTCATTTTGATTCGAACTTAAATTGGAAGGCCCACTGCGAATTTCTCACATCAAAAATGTACTCTATGTGTTGAGGCAATTAAAAACCATCTTAACATCTGAACAATTGATACAAATTTATTTTGCTAATGTGGATTCGAGATTAAGATATGGAGTATGTTTCTGGGGTTGGTCAACGCGCTTTGAAGATGTATTTGTGTCTCAAAAAAGATGCATCCGATCATTAGCAGACATCTCACCAACAGAAAGTTGCAAAAAATATTTTATAAGTTTCAACATTTTAACTGTCCCTTCGTTGTATATATATGAATTGTGCTTACATGTTTTTAAAAATAATGAAAAATTCAAGCGGAATCGTGATATGCATAATTATGATACAAGGACTTGTAATAATTTATATGTAAACTTCAGCAAATCAAAAGCGGCATTTCGATCACCTAATAAAATTGGTCCGCTTCTTTTTAATAATTTACCATGCCACATTACCTCGGTTAAAAATATAAACGACTTCAAGTTCCAGTTGAAGCAATTTTTGATAAACAAGTGCTTTTATCGTGTTGATGAATTTTTGAACATTGCAATTTCAAATTAGTTGTAGATTTGTAGCGAACGAAAAATTGATAATTCCAATACAATTATACATTGTCTGTATGGAAATAAAGGTTATTGATTGATTGATCTTTCAACGAGTACGCAATTCCATGAGAAGGAGGGCGGAAGCATGCAAGTGAAGGGGGTCATTTTTAACAATTTTTGTAATCATTTCGTTGGATTTAATGTTATGTTTATGTTGTCAGTTGTTGTTGTTCATTACCCCTAATGTGTTTAATTTTTCCAATTAAATTAATAATAATTTTGCAAGTTAGACAATAGAACGGTTTTTTTTACTCAAAAATGGCGCATTGAAGGAAAACAATTCAAGAAAGATCATTTGTTCTAAATGGAACGGAGAATTCAAAAATAATTTTTATTTGGCAAAAAATCATTGGCGTACCATTTTTTTCCTAAAAAATATCGAAGTCAATACTCGTACGCACGCCACTGTTGAAGCTAAAAATTATTTTTGCATCGAAAAATATGCAAATTTATTAACTTTCACTACGTACTAAATATCAGTGAAATATATGAAGCGGTTCTGAACATATTAATTAATTTCCATTTTTTTCCTAAAACTTCAACACCCCGAGTTTTTGTAAGGAAACATTTTTGGACCATAGTTTATAAAGCAAACTAATATTAATTTTTCATGTAGATTCACACCCTTAAATATTCGCGTATCATTAAGGAACACCCGGAATATGAAGGAAGTAAAGAGTTACATTGTAACATTCTAGAACGTATCATTGATAAGCATAGAAAAGTTCGCAATACTGGTGTCACAATTAATCATGATTACGTCCCCTTCCTTTTTCGTTGTTGTTACACAAGTCCCCGTTATTAAAACACGTGTATATAAACCTGTTAAAATACGCGATCGGGCATCAGAGAAAACACGGCCAAGATTCATCCGTATGTCGAGTTTTTTCTCGCCATCCTTTTGTCGCTCAGTGATAAGTGATAATGGCGTGTAGCGAAAACATTCTTTCAAATAAATTCGGCTGCTGAGAAGCTTACAGCTGAAAATTTGCCAGTGAAAAGAAAACAACGAATGAGGGATAACGATATTCTCGGTACCTTCATGCTTTGTTGGGGAATTATTATCATCCCGAATAATTCACTACCAAGATTTATTTTCCGGCCTTTGCATGCTTTGCCAGAGGCAGCACAGACGCGTCTTAAATAATGAATAACGGTTTTTATATCTTGCTGAAAAAATGTTCAGTGGTTAAAGGTGGCAAGTAGAGTCAAAAAGTGGTGAATGAGGAATGTAAGCCCATGCTAATAACGTCCCGTCTTCCAGATATTTTTTTTTTCTAAAATTCCTTTCTGGGTAAATTGAATTCGCCCGGTTACTTTTACGCAGGGTGTCCTACAAAATAATGGTGACCTCGACTATGACCTTCAATACGACATTCAAGTTAAGTTCAAAGTCAAGCAACTATTTACAAACGGAACCCTCCCTTTTTTGTAGTGGAATTGGAAAGAGGAGGAAAGTCTACGTCCGAATATGATCTAGATCAGAGTTCCCCAAACTTTTTTGTGTCGTAGACCCCTTGTCATGTTTTTCCGTGTTGGGTAGACCCCCTACTTACCTGATATTGATTTCCTGTAAATTTCTAACTGTAGTGAAGTTTAGTGTTAAAAACTTAAAGTAAAAACACATGTTAATTTATACATTTATTAATTGAATTTAAATTAAAACTACTCAAAATAAAATTTTGTATCTGTTATGTAAAATATACGTAACATTAAATAAACAGGTGTCTGACCAATAAGTGCCCGCATTGGGAATAAGTGCCCGCATTGGGAATAAGTGCCCGCATTGAAAAAAAAAATAAGAGGGACAAAATAAAAAAAAAGTGAAAACTAATAAAAAAAGGGTTAATCTTAAATCTCCTCGGCTAATGATGTCCAGTTTGTTTCTTTTTTTCGTTAGGCGATTGGTAACTGCGCTGAACCCCCTTTCCACTAGGTATGACGATGGAAAGGAAATTAAAAATTTCCTCGCTATATTCCATAATACGGGATAAGTAACGGGTTTGTTGTTTTGGAGCCAAAATTGCTGATATCCGTTTTTAAACTGAACCTTAAGTTCTTCGTTTGTACTTAGTTCAGTCAGTTCCTCTTGTATTATGACATTCGTTTCTTCTATGTCACCATATGGATTAATTATCCACGGTGGTATTACCGTAGTCAAAATATCCTCAAACCCAGATTCAAAATCTGAATAGAGGGCATTTAAATGTTGAACGTAAGTTGAAACGTCGTCTTCCTGGCAGCTTGTCTGTGACAAATTGGGGAACTGAGAAAATTCGCCCCGTCCAATATTTTGCTTCATTATTTTAACTCTGGCAAGAAACGCTGATAAGATGGACTTTGTTTTAATCAAATTTAAACTGTCGCCTTGTAATTGCAAATTAACTATATTAAATTTTGTAAACAAATCTGTTAAATAGGCGATGTGTTTTCCTCTTAATTAAATTTTCTTTTAAAATTTTATCTTTAGTATCCAGAAATTCTAAAATAGTCTCAAAAAGTGGAAAAAATCTTGTCAAACATAAGCCTTTCGACAGCCAGCGTACTTCAGTGTGAAGGAGTAATTGATGAGAGTGTTCGTCATTTTCTTCACACAACTGCGCAAATAACCGCGTATTCAACGCGTCGCTTCGGATTCGGTTTACTGCATCAGTGACTAAATGAAGTGATTCATGCAATCTAACACTCAAATTTTTAGCAACTAAATGTTGCCGATGGATGACGCAATGTATTGCTAAAACCGTGACACATTTTGTTTTAAACAGCTTATACATCCACGATAACGCCCAACCATGGCAGGTGCTCCATCTGTAACTACTGATATTATATTTGATAAAGGAATTGCTTTTTCAATGAAGTAATCCTTCAAAACATGAAATATTGATTCACCTTTAGTGTCGGTTATCAAAGTTCTTGCGAAGAGCAATTCTTCGTAGATTTCTTGATTCATAATAAAACGAACATATGCCAATAATAATGCTGCATTATCAGGTAAAGTTGACTCGTCCAGTTGTATAGAGAATTGGGTCGTTTGCAAATAATTACATAAGAAGCTTTCAATATCAGAACTTATTTCATCAATACGTCTTTCAACAGTATTGTTGCTTAAGGGAATTCTTTTAATGATATCAGATGCAGGTTTGTGTAAAACAGTTTTTAAAACCTCTTCAACGGCTGTCAAAATTAACTTCTCTCCGATAGTATGCGGTTTTCCGGATTTTGCTATAAGTAACTAGATATTGTAAGACGCCCGCAAACCATCATCATTTCTTTGTGATGTCGAAGCGAACATTCTGTCCAGTGTAGGTCTGTTCTGAAATTTATCTTTGAGTGTTTGAAAGTATTTCAAATCTTTCTCTGTTTTATCAGGGTGGCATCTTCTCAAATTAGCTTGCAGTTTAGATGGTTTCATAGCGTCATTGCCCAAAACTTTGTTGCATAAAAGGCACATAGGCGATTGTTTGTCCGGCAATGATGGAATGAAGCCAAATTTCAAATAATCAACACTGTACTGTCTACATTTCTTTTTAGATTCGGACATGGCATCAGTCATATGTGGGCAAAATTAAATTATTTAAATAAGACAGAATATCCAGCAGCTGTATATTAAAAGTATTTTTTGACTTTTCCGAAAACATTCCATAATTCGAACATCTTCTTGCAACAATTAGCTCGAATTACGGAGATTTCACTGTAATTATATTACCGATTGCTAAAACTTTCAAAAAGAAACTATTGAGGAGTACTCGTGTAATCTGGCATGATTGAATATTTAACTACTAATAACTAAAGTCATGATTGGCGTAATTTATCTATCTTTGCTAACTACGAGTACAAAACTAAAATTTGATAAAAAATAATGTACTTACTTTTCTCCAGCACTCTCAAACAAGACTCACTATAATTTGTGTGATATACTATCTGTTTATATTTTTTAAAATATTTTCTTAGCACTTTCCTTCTCAAGATTCTGGAAACGAATAAACGTATTTGTTCCACATTCGTATTTATAGAGTGACGAATTGAACAAGTCAGTGCAAGGCAGCGAAGCTCCGAGACTGCGAGTCTCAGGTTTTAACAAGTTCAAAATGTATTGCAACCACAAAGCGAATACCAACATCCTACAACTTACACAATTTTATAAAGATGTATAATACATTTTTTACTTCATAGGTACTTTTATAAATAATGTATATGTTTTGATATTATAAGATAGTATGATGTAAGTAAATAGGTGCTATCAGTGTATGTGTTGAGATCCACTATCGTGGACCCCCATATTCATTTCATGGACCCCCAAATTTTTTTTCGCTGACGTAGACCCATTGCAGGTTGTCATAGACCCCTAGGGGTCGATATAGACCACTTTGGGAATCAGTGACCTAGATCATAAAAATAACCATGACCTTCAAAGGTTAAGCTCAAGTAAAGACATTGTTCGATAGCACAGTTTCGACGTTTGTGGGGGTGACCTTGACCGTGACCTTGACTATGGCAAAGATAAGGAAACAACCACGATTTTTATGTGCCATTGAATTTTCTGAATTCTCGAGCTCGTCGTGCCAGATCTACGAGTACGAGATCTCTAAATTCAGTGATGAGACCGATAGGCCTGTAGTAAGTATCGGTCTTAAATCCTTCTTTTGGGATGGGTTGGACATGAGCAAATTTCCAGTTTTCTGGGAAGGTGCCGTAGATATCTGGAAGAGACGTGAAAGATCTGGAGCAAGCTCCGATGCACACCTCTACAATACAACCGCATGAATCAAGTCCGGACCAGAAGCTTTGTTGATGTCGAGCGACAAGAGCACCCGTCTTACGGTCTTATGCCTAAATGTTACTTCCCGCATAGTGCAGTGAACCCTTTGAATCGACGGCACTTGAGCGTTGAGGGGAACGTCCGTGGTGGAGTTGGCAGCAAAGATCTGGCAAGCACTTCCGCCATGGCTTTTGAATCGGTTACAATCGTTCCATCCTGACACGTAAGTAGTGGAAGGCTACTGTGCTAGAAGTTCTTTTTAATCTGCTGTGCCAGCGCCCAAAAAGACCGACTGCCATTGCGCTGCGACATTAGCCTGTGCCTGTTATATCTTGCTGGTTTTTGGCAGTGGGAACCGCTTCGTTATACATATTTGTTTCTGGACTCGAAGTCGGCTTATCTGTTCTCTACAGTGGGGCTTTGTAGCAGTTATGTGTGCCTTGATCTTCTCCTGGCGAGCAGTGTCACACGATTTGTTGAACCAGCCGTTGGACGCTGGTTTAGGCACTCTCACTGTATGAGGGATGTATTCCTCCATTCCAACGTGGATAATTTCTGTTATCGAAGATCTGACAGCCGACGCATCCGCGTCAGCGAAACAAACATATCTCCAAGGAAAGGTAGAGGGGAAGTCTCCCAGTCGAGCCCCTCCCAGTCGGCGTATCTGAAATGCCAAGTTTTGCGACCTGGGCGAGTTACTGAAAATGCCTTAAACCACCGAGAAAAAGAGGGCTCCGTAGGCCTGTTGAAGTTTAGCAAGAGTTTTCGTTGCACTGTGCCAAAGTAAGTATGAAGCAAAACCTGTCGGCATACCGTTGCATGAAATTGCTGACACTCATTTTCAGACACAATAGGAAAAACTATTTCACAAAAAAAGTCGCTACGGAAAACTAAATGACTCGAGCGAGTTCAAACTTGTACTGAAGGCCCTTTCAAGCCCGGCGTCCCATCACTTGATTTAACAACATAGTATTCCAACACAAATATATTAAAATCAACTTGCCCTGAAACTGACCTTAAGTACCTTGTTCACGATCAAGATGACATCTCCCAACACCTTCCTACAAGCTATTCTAATAAAATATTTTGATATACAGATTCTCAAAGTTTTTGATCGGAGACCTACATCGGCACATTTACCATTGTTGCAAATCAAACTATACTAAGTGACATATAAATCCCAGTTTAAATGGTTTTATTTTAATAAAATTTTGTATAAGTACTTAATGAAGCATAATAAGTAAATGACAAAAATTTCAAAATGATTGCACTGCTTTAAAGCCCTTTGACCTTTAATAATGTGTGGATGTACCCTGATGTGCTACGCATTCTCCAACGCGCCTAGGCATGCTTCTGATCAGGTGGTCAATGTCCTCCTGTGGTATCTCATTCCAGGCAACCACCAACTCCTATCGAAGTGCTCCTAGAGTCTGAGGAGGACGTTGCAAATTGAGCAATCTCCTACCCATCATATCCCACACGTGCTCAATTGGGGATAAGTCGGGAGATCTTGGTGGCCATGGTAACAATGTGACATCATTATGTTGGAAGAAGTCTATTGTGACTCTTGCAACATGTGGTCGGGCATTATCTTGTTGGAAAGTTGGATCTGCCAGGGTGTCAAGATAGGGTAAAAGATGGGGTTCTAGAAATACGTGGATATAACGCTGCGCGTTCATGTTACCTCTGATGAAGATTAAAGGTGACCTTGAACCATAAGCTAGAGCACCCCAAACCATAACTCCAACAGTGTGATGAACATGTCTTTCAACAAAAAACTGTGGATTCCTCCTTTCACCACGTCGCCTTCTAACCCTGGCACGACCATCGTGCATGCCTAAACAAAATCGAGACTCGTCACTAAAGACAATACTGTTCCATTCCTGATCCCAGAGTGACCGTTGTCTGCACCACTCAAGGCGATTACGTCGGTGTTCTCGAGTTAAAGGGAGGACCCAGTGTGGCCGGTATGAAAACAAGCCAAAACTTCTCATTCGTCGGTAAACACTTCGCATGCCAATAGGTCTTCCTTATTCTGCAAACCATTCATTTGCAATGGACCTGGTAGTGGAGAAACGGTCCCTTAAGGCCAATAATCCTAGGCGGCGATCTTCACGGTCTGTTGTTCTACGGCGGCGTCCAGTGCCCCTTGCTCTTTGCGTGCGGCCTTCTCGAAGCCATGCCTGACAACACTTAACCACAGTGTCTACACTTCTTTCACAATTGCCCGAAAAGGAAGTCCAGCTTCCCGAAGTCCCACTATACGGCCCCTATCAAACTCACTAAGTTGACGAAATCGTACAGGTCTCCGTACTCCGTCTCCGTCTTTACTGCGGCTGAAATATTCATTTTTAGAGCGTTAGTGACTTTAAAAAAAGCAGTATAAAAACCGGAATGTCCAACTGATAAGGCTGAAAATGTTTTCACTTGTTATTTACAGTAAGATAAATACATTCACCAACTTTTATTAAAATAAAACCATTTAAACTGGGTGTTCGGATTTATATGTCACTTAGTATATCTCAAAAACTAATCATAGGATTTCTTGGACACTTGTTCAGAAAGGCAAGAAATATAACATGCTGAATTTTTAGACAAATCGAGTGAGACCCATTTTCTATGTTTTGTGAGAGGTCCTTTGTGTTTATTGTATGTTCTTCTCATGTCAAGAATCTCAATTATTAATTTTGTTGCAGCGCTTTTCGACGCAGTTCAACATGGCCACATGGAAAAGGCGAGGACAATTCTAGAATCAACGGATGTCGATGTAAATAGGTAAGAGCGTCAGATTAATAAGTGATTGTTTAAAATTTCCCTGATCATGTAAAATTTTCTAATTAGTTTTCGTAGATTGTTAGTTAACCTAAGCATATGTTGCTTCCATTTAAGCTTTTGATCTATTATTACACCAAGGTATTTGTTTTATTTCATTTTCAAAACCGTCTACTTGTACGCTGTTAAAATTTGGTCGATTTGCAGATGTTACGGAAAAGGCTATGTAATTAGTTTTATCCACATTTAAACTAAGTTTAGTTGAATCAAGAGATGTTTTTTCATATACCTCTTCCCATGTTTCCGCCACAAAGACCACGACGGTGTCATCAGCGTATGAAACCACCATACCATTTTCTAGAATAATATATGTCAAAGAGTTTTTATATATTATAAATAGTAATGGCCCAATAACGGTGCCCTGCGGTATGCTCATTTCTATTTCTGACGAGTCACTGATCACTTTTCCGATTTTAGTCATCTATATTCTACGTGTCAAGTAACTCACAAAAACCTCTGAACACACACTCCTGATCCCATAAATATGGAGGACATCTAGAAGGGGGTCATGAGGCACTGTGATAAGTGCCTTTGCGAGGTCTAAGGAGGCCGCAATGCATTTCTTTCCTTGATCAAGGCTTTTTTAAATAGTTCTTGTAAGCTTAAGTATCGCATCTGAGGTACTGATGCCTTTGCGAAAACCAAATAGATTTTCTGACAAAACATTATTACTAGATAAAAAGCTTGATAATCTCTCTTTTAGACACTTTTCGAATATTTTAGCAAAATTCGTAATAACTCACACCCCGTATCTTTTTAATGAAGCTGTCGAGAAAAGATGTTACATAGAAGACCCTTCTTAAAATGCGGTCCTGTGTATGATGGTTCATTTTTTGTCACGACTTGTGGATCATCCTGTCTATTAAAGAAAATCAGATTCATAGCATATAAAAGAAAACTCGACTCCCATCTGAAAAAACTTTCCAATCATCCTGTATTTACAACTTCGCTGTAAAAGTGTTATTAACTTTCTTTCAATCTAGAGTAATACGCCAATCATGGTGAAAGGAAAACCGCAGTTTCCTATTCTCGGCATCTTTCAATGCACTTTTCCGGTATCTAAAACCATCGAAAGCGACTCCAATTTGGCCGGTATTCACCCAAGCCAGTTTATCTATTCAATTTCCAACTCGCTCCGTTTTACCGTGAACAAATAGATGGCAAATTGGGCGCTGAAAGGCTTTAACTTTAACATCTCCGTCGGTAAGCTGGAGACACGAAGACTAGCAGCGACTCTGACGAGAGAACTGGAGGTTATCACTGCTTGAGGACGCAATAATCTTGTACAGTTAATGCCTCAAACACATAGTACTACTGTACCTTGACGAACAAAAAACGTCCTTCTAACAGACAGTCTCGGGACCCTTTTGTTGGCGGTCTAGCTCTTTTCGACCGCTACGCCAATGGGCTTTGCTCCTCAGAAGTCTCCTCCATGATTCCGCCGCGCGATGTGCCTGCCAGACAGACCCGCCTGACTTCAGCCTCCAACACTAACCGTGTTGAACTTCGTACATCTAGCCGATACGACCGCTCCTTCGTCTCTAGGGCCTAGGGTATGCAGGTTGTGGAACAATCTATCTGAGAAGGCTTTTCCCAGTTCTACTAGCATTAGGCATTTCAAAAATCGGATTAACAAAGTTTCTTTAAGCTTTTCATAGCAGCCGGGGTTTCTTCTTCCTTTCTTTCTCCCTGACTTCGTCTGGTATCTGGGCAACCAGACCTGATAGACCTACTGATCTACGATACTTTAACAAAGAGAGAAGGTCCCACGGACCACTCTGACGGACAGTGACGAATAGAGAGCAACTGGGGTGTCCTGGTATTTAGGCTTCTACCTATGCAGCTGATTCGATATAAAACAGATTTATTTCATCACTTTTTAACGTTTCATCAAATTATCATCAATCTATATGTATAAGTTTTTTAGTTGCAAATTTGGACACTACCTACTGAATTTTACATTTCATTTCATTTCTTTCATTAGTTTCATTTCCTTCGATTCTTTCATTTTTTTCATTTCGTTAATTCCTTTTATTCCTTTCATTTCTTGATTAGATAAAATACAAAAGTGTTGGAAAAAACAACATTAACATAAAACTGTAAAAACAACATTAAGAGAACAGAAGCTTCTCATAGCAGCCGGGGTGTCCTGGTATTTAGGCTTCTACCTATGCAGCTGATTCGATATAAAAAAGATTTATTTCATCACTGTTTAACGTTTCATCAAATTCTCATCAATCTATAAGTTTTTTAGTTGCAAATTTGGACACTACCTACTGAATTTTACATTTCATTTCTTTCACTCGTTTCATTTCTTTCTCTCGTTTCATTTCTTTCACTCGTTTCATTTCTTTCGTTTCCTTCATTCTTTCACTTCTTTCACTTCTTTCACTTCTTTCACTTCTTTCACTTCTTTCACTTCTTTCACTTCTTTCGCTTCTTTCGCTTCTTTCGCTTCTTTCACTTCTTTCACTTCTTTCACTTCTTTCACTTTTTCACTTCTTTCACTTCTTTCATTTCTTTCACTTCTTTCACTTCTTTCACTTCTTTCACTTCTTTCACTTCTTTCACTTCTTTCACTTCTTTCATTTCTTTCATTTCTTTCATTTCTCTCATTTCTTTCATTTCTTTCATTTCTTTCATTTCTTTCATTTCTTTCATTTCTTTCATTTCTTTCATTTCTTTCATTTCTTTCATTTCTTTCATTTCTTTCATTTCTTTCATTTCTTTCATTTCTTTCATTTCTTTCATTTCTTTCATTTCTTTCATTTCTTTCATTTCTTTCATTTCGTTCATTTCTTTCATTTCTCTCATTTCTCTCATTTCTTTCATTTCTTTCATTTCTTTCATTTCTTTCATTTCATTTCTTTCATTTATCCATTACTTTCGTTTCTTTCGTTTCTTTCGTTTCTTTCGTTTCTTCGTTCTTTCATTTCTTCGTTTCTTTCGTTTCTTTCGTTTCTTTCGTTTCTTTCGTTTCTTCGTTCTTTCGTTTCTTTCGTTTCTTTCGTTTCTTCGTTTCTTTCGTTTCTTTCGTTTCTTTCGTTTCTTTCGTTTCTTTCGTTTCTTTCGTTTCTTTCGTTTCTTTCGTTTCTTTCGATTCTTTCGTTTCTTTCGTTTATTTCGTTTCTTTCGTTCTCTTTCGTTTCTTTCGTTTCTTTCGTTTCTTTCGTTTCTTCTCGTTTCTTTCGTTTCTTTCGTTTCTTTCGTTCTTTCTTTTCTTTCGTTTCTTTCGTTCTTTCGTTCTTTCGTTTCTTTCGTTTCTTTCGTTTCTTTCGTTTCTTCGTTTCTTTCGTTTCTTTCGTTTCTTTCGTTTCTTCGTTTCTTTCGTTTCTTTCGTTTCTTTCGTTTCTTTCGTTTCTTCGTTTCTTCTTCTTTCATTTCTTTCACTTCTTTCATTTCTTTCACTTCTTTCATTTCTTTCATTTCTTTCACTTCTTTCACATCTTTCATTTCTTTCATTTCTTTCATTTCTTTCATTTCTTTCATTTCTTTCATTTCTTTCATTTCTTTCATTTCTTTCATTTCTTTCATTTCTTTCATTTCTTTCATTTCTTTCATTTCTTTCATTTCTTTCATTTCTTTCATTTCTTTCATTTCTTTCATTTCTTTCATTTCTTTCATTTCTTTCATTTCTTTCATTTCTTTCATTTCTTTCATTTCTTTCATTTCTTTCATTTCTTTCATTTCTCTCATTTCTTTCATTTCTTTCATTTCTTTCATTTCTTTCATTTCTTTCATTTCTTTCATTTCTTTCATTTCTTTCATTTCTATCATTTCTTTCACTTCTTTCATATCTTTCATTTCTTTCATTTATTTTTAAGTGTTGGAAAAAACAACATTAACCTAAAACTGTAAAAATAACATTAACAGAAAACCTGTAAAATGATATTATGAATTTAAAATAAATACAAAGCTATAGAACAACCACACCCGAACAAATTAACAGAGTAAAAGTGAACAAGCACACTGCAACACCATTATAAGAGATCCGAAAAGTTATTACTTAAACATTCTTAGATGGTATAAACAGCTTTCTTGATAAGGAGAAACGAGCATATTTACCAATAACATCATTCTCCTCGACTTTTCAAAATAATTTAAATATTCAATACTTGCCGAAAAAGAGCTGAAACCAAAAATAAAGCTAAAAGTTAATTTTGTGTAGTCTTCATAGGTACAGACTGGTAGATTCCCGTCGTTACCTCATCACCGGACAAGCAATAAAGAAACCGAAACCTGTCTGTTTTGTTCATGAGTTCAGGGGTAAAACAGAAAAATATCCACAATCCTATAAGCAAGAATCGAAAAGGAGTTTCCAGAATGTTGCAAAGTACTTTGAAAGAGCGACCAGTATGCACATTGTAGAAGTAGTAATATAGAACTATGCCCTCAAAAAACATGTTGTGTGCGCGCCCAATACAATAACAGACGTTTTTCATGACTCAAAGGTCCTTGATCTACCACTGATCTTCGGACGGCATTTACCTTATACGGAATTCAATGACACTATTTACCGATTCCGTTTTTTTTTTTGCCGGTTCGGCAACACTGCAGATGTGCAGATCACTTTAAAAGCAATTGATATCCCAGACGAGTTATAATAATAGAAATAAGAAGAAAATATAACAATGTTTGGAGATATATTTTCATAAATAGGTATTTTTGACTCTGACAGAATATCTAGACGATGAATAATAGGTGGATGCTGATACTTTTACAAATATCGATATTTTAGGATCCAGAAATGCAGAACGTGCTGTTTGGCAACCGACTTTATTCAATATTTCAATAGAAATCACTGATATTCATAGAGCTTTGACAGCTTCCGTCAAATTGCATTTCGATAAGGTCTTTTCCTATTGATCCAACTGACCGTCAAATATTAATGTTGGTGAAATTGGCCCCAATTACAATGAAAATTGGCTATTACACAGTTTGAA